CCAGCACTGACGTCCCCACCTCCCCTAGGGCTGCCAACTGTCTAATCACACAACCCTAAAACCTTTGCCAGGTCCCATCCCCGAGTCCCCACTCCGCTCACTCCATCCCCCACCCGTCACTTGCTCTCCCCCACCCTCACTCACTTTCACCCGGCTGTGGCAGGCGGTTGGGATGCGGGAGGGAGCTCCAGGCTGAGCCTGGGGTGGGAGAATGGGGTGCAGGAGGGGGTGCGGGCTCTGGGAGGGGGCTTACCCTGCATGATGGCCCGCAGGGGAGAAGGGACCCCAGCCCAATGCCTTTGGCGGGTCCTGCCCTGCACCACCAAATACCCGCCCTTCCCTAGCCAGGGGAGGGGGCCCCTGCCCCCCTCCAGTTGAAGCAGTCAGGCAGCAGAATGCCCATTTCGTATCCCCATCCGTGGGGCACTTCCTCGCCCGCCGGTGGAGGTCAGGCTGGGACAGGCCCTGGTTGGTCTGGAGCCCTGCTCTGGGCTCTCCTTAGCTGCCTCTTTCCCTACGCCCGACACTGGCCAGGAACAGTCTTGCTCTTCGTGGAAGGCTCCCAGACGCCATGGGGATGGGCACCCTTGTAAAGCCTCACTCAATTCCTGGGGGTGTTACACGCGTCGTGCCCTGGCCTGTCTGTGCAGCGCACATCGCCATGGGGCCTGACCTCTTCCCCCCGAGGGGCCCAGCTCCACCCCGCTCCCAGTCTGGGTCTTGTGCTGCAGGATTGCTCTGCCACGGGCTCTGAGCCCCACAACGGGCCTTGCCCCACTCGTGGGTTTGTTTCTATGGCTGTGTCTGTTACCATGGAAACAGCTGGGCCCGGGAGGGGATTGGTTGTTGGCAGACTGTCAGTGGGTGGTTGTAGGGCTGCACTCCTGGACCCGTGAAGCTGGTGGGATTTGAGGCGTCCCCCCAGGGGCTGGGCGTGAGACGGAGAGAGAGGCCGTTCATGGTGTGGATGGCTCAAGACTCAGGCGCTGCCTTATGCCTGAGCTGCCCTCGGGCAGTGCCCAGGCGGGGCCCTGCCAGCCTGTTTCTGCCCATGCACCGTAGGGGCTGCGCTGGCATGTGAGCGCCCAACTCAAAGGGGCTGGGGTGGGGAGGGAGATGGCAAGCGATGGTGACCCTGGGCTGCTCCAGCCCGTGGGGGACAGGGGTTCAGGAATGTGAGGCCTTTGTGACCAAGCCTGGAGGTGACACATGTAGGCGGGGAGAGAGTCCCCTCTCCCCCGGCCTCTGTTCTCTGCTCAGCCAGCAGCCCCGAGGCCAGGCCCAGACGCCAGGCTCCTGGGTGGCATCTCACTAAAAGGTCCAGCAGCATGGGAGGCACCCGACTCGAGCCAGGCCCCTGGGGAGAGACTTTACCCAATAGACGCTAGAGCCAGCCTGTCGCCCCCCCCTCCCCCCCCCAGCTTTGCAGGGGTCTGCTGCAGCGTAACCTTGGGGCAGAATTTGCTGCCCTTCCACTTGGAGGATCAACCCAGGGGAGGGAGACAGCACAGCCTTAGCCAGCCCGTCCCCAGCGAGCAGCTCAAACGGGAACCTGTGACCCCCAAGACCACCCCACAGCCAGAGGGCAAGGGGCTCCCAGTGTCTAGCTGTGAGCCTCAGCTGGCCTGACCCTCTCAGTGCACCCAATGCACCACTGGCATAGCCTGTATCTAAAAGGTGTTGTGAAGGTTACATACACATTACCCATATGTGTTAGTGTGGGGTATATGTGCGGGTGATGCTGGTCAGTAGAGTTAGGGCAGGGTGTAGGTATGGGTGATGCTGATCAGTAGGGTTAGCTCAGGGTGTTTGTGCAAGTGACACTGGTCAGGCGAGTTATCATGGGGTGTAGGTACAGGTGACGCTGGTCAGGAGAGTTAGCGTGGGGTGTAGGTATGGGTGACGCTGGTCAGTAGTGTTAACGTGGGCTGTAGATACAGGTGACGCTGGTCAGTAGTGTTAGCACGGGGGTGTATCTGTGAGTGATGCTGGTCAAGTGAGTTATCATGGGGTGTAGGTACGGGTGTGAAAGTTACTAGTGACCCCCCCTTAACAGAGCAGCCTTTATGTCAACCAGTGGCCATTAGGGGGAAGCAGACACTTCAAGTACACAGTAGCCTGAACTTTTCAACTGTCTTCCCTTCAAGGCCTTAAGGTAGTTGGAGCTGGTCCCAAGCCGGTTTGCACTGACCAGATAGCAAAAGCACGGGTCTGACAACCACCAATCAAGTGTTAACACTGCAAGGACCTTTGTCTGAATGTGTATAAGGGATCTGTAAAATGTGTGTAAGACAGAGTTTTTGTACTAAGGTGCAAAGCTCTCCTTTCTTCTGCAGAATAAAGTGACTCTTCCTTATCCCTGTCTGGCTGTTATTGGCTCTCAGCTAGGTGGACCCGATATTTCGGTAACACGGGTGACGCTGGTCAGTAGTGTTACCGTGGGGTGTAGGTATAGGTGACGCTGGTCAGTAGTGTTAGCATGGGTGTAGATATGGGTGACGCTGTCAGTAGTGTTAGCACGGGGTGTATGTGTGAGTGACGCTGGTCAAGCAAGTTATCATGGGGTAAAGGTACAGGTGATGCTGGTCAGTAGTGTTAGCATGGGTGTAGGTACGGGTGATGCTGGTCAGGCGAGTTAGCATGGGGTGTAGGTATGGGTGACGCTGGTCAGTAGTGTTAGTGTGGGGGGTAGGTACGGGTGATGCTGGTCAGGCGAGTTAGCGTGGGGTGTAGGTACGGGTGATGCTGGTCAGTAGTGTTAGTGTGGGGTGTAGGTACGGGTGATGCTGGTCAGGCGAGTTAGCGTGGGGTGTAGGTACGGGTGATGCTGGTCAGTAGTGTTAGTGTGGGGTGTAGGTACGGGTGATGCTGGTCAGGCGAGTTAGCGTGGGGTGTAGGTACGG